GGCATAAATCATTTGGATTTCTCAGAAGTGAAAATCTAGCTTAAGTGAAAGCTATGAACTCAGTGCAAATACTGTATTACTGTGTCACATACAGATGACTGATGGTTCCTTTTGCTCTTAGAAGCAGAGTGTACACAGCTGTGACTTTACACAGCTGTCCGCTGGTTTACAAGGCTAAAACGGACAAAGAGCGACTGTAAAACTGAGGTTTGTATGCAGAGATACAGGCTTTGCAATCAGGAGGAGTAGAGATGAGTACAAATCCATATTTTTCCACTTTGTCACTTCCTCTGTTGCCAGCTAATAGGGATTTGGGTAGAGTCTTGGCAACGTGGTGCCCAACATTCCCCCCAGTATCTCAGTTAAACACTGTGTATTATTGTCTGCTGTACTTCCTACATTAATTTGTGCAAGTCAGTGCTTATGTCTAGGTGACAATCCAAAAGACTTTCAGCTCTAAACACCATACAAGTGAGGATAGCTGTTTTGAAGTCCACTTGTCAGCTGCTCTTGTGGGGCAGCATTTAACACAGATTGAAACATGTAAGCCAAATGTGGCTTTAGAACATCCCACACACCGTAAAAAAAGCTACTGACACTGTTTATAGGCTTCTATCTTTGTGATGAACAAAAGTGATGCTTCTGCTGATTCATAAAGAACACCATGTTGCTGATCTCTGAAGGATGGGTATGAGGTAGTGCTTCTTCTGAAAACAGTAGAAAACTGTCTCGTTATGTAGAAAACAAGATTTTGGATTTGGGATTTCAGTTAAAACTGAAAGGTACTCTATGGATTTAAAATCAGAGGATTACAGAACGGCTTGGGTAGGAAGGGACCTTAGAGCTCATCTAGTTCCAAGCCCCCTGCTGTAGGCAGGGACACCACTTGCTTTGATATACACAGTCTTTTAAAAGTGGCATATACCAAGAGTAACAGTTAACTCTGCATGTTGAAGTTTCACGGTAAGTAAATACCAGTTTTATGAAAATTAAATGAAGGAGAGCATTATTTTCTCTCTGTGCTGTGGAACGTTCACTGTTGGACAGACCTAGTTCACACCTGTCTGTTCCTTCCAACTTGAATCATATTTCATGAAGCATGTTTCTCTAACTGAAAACTTGCTGGGTTTTTTCCCCAGCTCTTACATTTTACTCAGTATTTTTTGGAATCCTCGCTTATAAAGATGATGGAGAAAATCCTTATTTTGTCCCTATCCTATTCCTTTCAATGACCATTGAATGAAGAAAGATTTCCCTTTAGGTCCCGTTTCTTTCTCCTGTGTTTTATCTGCAGTTCAATAGAGAGCTTATTCTACTAATCTAGCTGAAAATATACCCCCTTCTGAATGACTTCACTAGTCCCATTACTATATAGGTATTTTTAGCATGGTTAGACTATGCAGTGTTGCCTCAGGTGAGAGAAAACTGAACATGTAAGCTAGGTCTGAATAAGCTGGCTCTGAATATGTGACACTTCCAGTAAAACACAGAAACTGTGTCACCTCAAACCATCCAAATTTTCCTGGGCTCCCACTTCTAAATGCAGGGCATCTGCATTTTCCCCAGGTGAACTGCTGGAACATGTATCACAATCACTTTGAATTTCTATTCATATTTGTACAGGGCTTTTGTTACTGTGTTGTCTTGTTCGGGGGTGGGTTTGGGGAGGAGGGGAGTGGTTGTGGTGCTTTTTGTTACTTTTCTTCCACAGACACCATTAATAGTAAAATAGAGGCTGAATAAGGACACCTGACTTGCTGATAACATTGTATACAGTGGGGGAATTCTGTGCTTGAAATGTTTGCAGTGCAGTGCTCATTCCCCACCCCTTCCACTCGGCAGATGGAATAACCTTACCAAATTATACACAGCTTTCCAAGACCAGTATCCCTGCTGCTAACCAAAGGCATTATTTCTAGTCTCGACATTTTGCTGCAGATGTGTATGATCCCTGTCCTCACCAGCAATTATCCCTTCTCTTCATCCTGCATTTAAGTGTTTAAAAGCTGTCAGGTTTGAGTGCCTCATGGTTCCATTTCTTGAGGTCAGAGATAGCAGATATTCAGGAAGCACATGCAGCTACAATGTGCCTGAACTGGAATGCTGTGTGACCTACTTCTGTCTCTGAATTCCTCAGGCTGGAAATATGCAGAATGCAACTTTGAAATTTATTTTTTATGGCACTAGAAAAAAATTCAGTGAATGGATGCCATATACTCAATGAAGTCGTTCTACAGTGATGATGGGGATTAAATTGACAGGTCTGTAACCAGTGCTTTATTTCCAGCGTGATGGTTTCGAGATACTGTGAATTCTACCACCTGTGAAGGAGACTGGTATGTAACAATAGCATCTGCAGAGTGGTCAGTCATGTATGCCATATCATCAAATCTGTAATTCCACAAACTCTATTTCTGACAAATTTTCAATCATTTTTCCATCTGAAAAAGATGCAGAAAATAATTTTTGTCTTTTCCACAAATACTGACACAGTCTGTGTATCTTCTGTTACAGAAGTTTAAATACTGTTTTAAAAGATAAGCCGTTAATCCAGTATGTTGGTATTAAAAAGCTCTGTTTTCAGAGCTTTTTTGTATTAATTCAAATTAAAAAAAAATAAATGCAACTGTCAGATAAAGCATTAAATAAACTCAGTGTCCTGAACTAGGTGGACTGGGAGCAGTCTTAATTTGCAACAGTGGTACTGTCCCACTCACAAACTGCAGCTGTGTCACTGCCTTAAACAATTTACTGTCAAAGCAGCATTGCTCAGGGTGATGCAACAGAAATTGGTCTGCAGATTAAATGAGAAATTAAAATCGTTACAGAAATTTAAGGGAAAAAAGAACACTGTGAAGTAACATGGTTTTAACTTGATTTGTAACATGGTTGATGATGACTGTTTCATATTAATGGTCAGATTAACATGACCTGCATGGAGACACAATGGCAGCTCTGACATTTTTTAGGTCCTAGGTATCTCAACAAAAAGTCATTTAATAGGCAAGTGTATGCATCCAATGCAGATTTAAAAGAAAAATACAGGAAATCCATTACCAAACTACTATTAACAAAATGAGAACATTTTGTTGCTAAACAACAAAAAATAGCTACAGTTATTTGTAATAGATTACCTCTTAGGAAACTACACTTGACTCCGTATCAGCCATTTTGATGGTAATCTGGAGATAACCCTCCAAAAATCTGTCTGTAGTGCTGGACAACTATCACGTCAAAAACTTCCTTTATAACTGGTACACCTCATAACCTTTTTTTTTTTTCTTTTTTTTCAGCTAAGGAGCTTGTTGAGTCATGTTTGTGAGGTGCTGCAAGTTGCTGACTTGGTCCCAGACAGCTACAGGCACCTTTTCAAAAGCTGCATCTGCTGAGGCCACACAGTTCTGTGTTTGTAGTACTTTGTACAGTGTATTCACTTCTGACATACTGAGAGCAAAGACAAAAGACAACCAAACTGCTCATCAGTCAAAATGCTGAATTGACAAATAACTTCTAATCGGGGACAAATGCCTAATTTTCTGAATCCTCTTTCTGAAGCTTCTCCGTCACTCTTAACTCAAACTCAAGTTTTCGTGAATGGTACTTGTAGTTCTTCCCTGGGAATAACCACTGTGTTGCAGTGGGTCTCAGCACCCTCCTCTTCAGGATTTCATTGTGGGGAGCTGGATGTGTTGGTGGATCACAGAAAAAAAGGCAACCCCCCCCCCCCACCAGGGATAAATACTGAATAAATACCTTCAGTTCTTTGTCCTGGTACATAGCTGCATGAAGTTTAACTGGTGAGTGTAACTGCACAAAAATATGCCCTGTGACTGAATGGCTGAGGCTGGCAGGGACCTCTGGATGTCATCTGCTCCAGCTACCTGCTCAAGCAGGACCACCTAGAGCCAGATGTCCAGGATCATTCCCATGCAGCTTTTAGGTGTTTCCAAGGATGAAGACTCCATCACCTCCATGGGTAACCTGTGCCAGTGCTTGGTCTCTCTCACAGTGTGGAGGAGTTTACTGATGTTCAGAGGGAACCTCCTGCGTTCAGTGTGTGCCCATTGCCCCTGATCCTGTCACTGGGCTTCACTGGAAAGAGCCTGGCTCTGTCCTCTTTGTACCTGCCCTCCAGGTGTATATACACGCAGGTGAAATCCTCCTGAGCCTTCTCCAGGATGAGCTGCTTCAGTCCCTTCATGATCTTGGTGGCCATTTCCTGGACTCTCTCCATTGTGTCCATGTCTGTCTTGTCCTGAGGAGCCTGGAGCTGGACCAGCACCCCCCTGACCTGCTGGCAATACTTCTGGTAATGCAGCCCAGGAAACCATTTTTCTTCTTCATCACAGGAGCACTTCACTAGCTCGTGTTCAACTTGGAGTCCACCTAGGCCTGTCCTGACAAGCTGCTTCCCACCTGGGCAGTCCCCAGCCTGTGCTGGTGCCTGGGGGTGTTCCTCTCCAGGTGCAGGACTTTGCTTTTCCCTTTATTGAACTGTCAGCCCCTTTCTCCAGCATGTCGAGGTCCCTCTGGATGGCAGCACAGGCCCTGCTCCCAGTGTGGCCAGTGCCTGTCACCCAGATCCTTACCGAAGATGTGAGACAGGAATGGACCCAGCACCTGACCCCATAATTTTTGCATAAAGTTTTAGCCTGTTTTTTCATTTCATTGCACACGAGGCTGTGCTAATTCTGAACAGGTATTTCTTCGCGTTTCTTTCTGACACATTGGATCAGAGTGGTTGTTCTTGGGCTGAAGCACGGCCGGGGCGCTGTGAACGCAAGGACCATTTTATGTCACCCACCGCCACCCTCTGGGATTGTGTGATATCGATTATCCAGGGTGTTTCTCTACACCCCAGCCGTTCCCGCCCGCCATTCCCAGCCGCCTTCCCAACGCCATTCCTGACGGAAGCGGCGCGCGCGGCCCCGGGCGGGGCGGGCGTGGCGCCTCCTGAAAGGCTGGAGCGCGTGACAGGCAGCGCCGCTGGCCAATGGGAGCTCCGGGACGGGCCCTGGGGGCGGGCCCCGCCTGCGGGGGAGGTGCTTCTGTCATGGCCGCCGCCGCCGGCGCCGCGTCCCCGGCCGACAAGGAGAGGTACCGCGGGCCGGGGGGCGCTGGGCTGGGCTGTTTGCCGATGTTTCTTTGCTCATGTGTCACTCGGGGTGCAGAAAACGCGAGCGGAGCAAGGGGTGGTGGTGAAATTCTTGCGGTACAAGGGGGTGGTGGTGGTTGAGGTGATGGTGTTCCGTGGGTGGTCTGAGGAGTCGGTGCCGAGACTGGAATTCCCGTGCTGGACCCACGAGAATTAGTCGGCTCATAAAGAGCAAGTAGGGAGGGAAACGCCCCTGGGAAGGAAAAGGGGGAAAATACCAGGAGTTGAGGTGGTTTGGGCTGGTTTTAGAGGCAGCAAGGAGCGTTTCCTGGGAGGCAGAGACAGTCCTTGTCGTTCTCCAGCTGTGTGAACATCAAACGATTTACTCAGTTTTGCTTATTTCCTTATGCTCTCATAGATATGCTCTCATCCAGATAAATACAGGCGTTCTTCCACTTCTTGGTCTCACCTAGCTGGCATTTCGATTGTGTAATAAGTGTAATTGAGGTTCTGTCAGTCTCATCCCCCGCATGTCCTTGACAGGTTTAAGTGTACTGCAAAATCTTGAGCAGGTTCCCAAACACACTTTTTCGGTGGCTTTATAAATTTGCCCCAAATCTGGGTTGATCTGTGTATGAATAAACAAAACCAAAGTAAAAACAACAACAACAAAACAAACGCCCCAAATCTAACAAATAATCAAAACCAAAACACACACAAAAAACCCCCACCGTCAAAAAAGCACACAGAAAGGCAGAGCTATAGCAGAAAAAAAAACCTGTGTCTTCCTTCTGTCAGGGACTTAGTTAACTATTAGTGTAGTAAAACCATTTCAGGAAACGTTCTTTAATTTTTGGGGGGGAAAGATGTGTGTACCCTGCCAGGTTTTAGGGGTGTGAGAAATAGGTCAAAATGTCCTGTTTCAGCCTTTTTTTTTTTTTTTCTCTTGTAATAGGTAGTGCTGCCCCTTGTACACACAGTGCCCCAAAAAGTGGTGTCATGCAAGGATCATCTCAGCCTAAGGGTCCTGCAGTGCCTGTGATAACTCCAAGTGTGATTTTGCAACATTTTGTGAATCAGTCTAGGGAAAATAAATGGTTGTTCTTATGAGAACTGCTGTGTTGTAGCCATGAGATTTATTTTTTGTTTTTACTAGGAAATACTGCATGAATAATGAAGTAGTTGATGTCATTTACTTAAACTCACTGTTTTCGCTTCCTAGATTCATCTGCATTTATCCAGCATATTTGAATAACAAGAAGACAATAGCAGAAGGAAGGAGGATTCCTATAGACAAAGTAATTTTGTGGGTGGCAGGGAAAAGGTGTTTTGTTTTGCTATGCAATATTGTATAGAGAGCTAGAAAATATAGCTCTGACCTCTCCAATCCCCCATAGCTAGTAGTTTGGAAATTACATTGTTTGAAGATAGCCTGGTGCCAGCGTGTGAGTTTAGGAGAAGAGCACTGGGTCGAAGTGTCTGCTTTCAATGTGAGCAGCACCTTGGGCAAACAGGTGAATGAGGAGCTTAATGCTCTCAGCTTCTGATACAGGTAGTTTGCCAAATTTGAAAGCAGTGCAGGAAAGAACAGTTAGCTAATAATTGTTTTTCAGAGACTAACTATGTATGCCTGTACTCTGTGTCCTGCCCCCTCTGCTGCTTTCCAACTTAGAACTTGAAATGCATGTGGCACATAAATTTGGTAGTTACTGTTTTTAATCTGTCCTGAAATAGTTTTTCATCATTTCCCTGCTTTATAATAATTTTAACGAGCAATGCTGGGAATATAAAGGGCTTTTCTCAGTGCTTAGAGTTGTGGGTTTTTTTGACAATAATTAAAAATAAAATCTTTCTTGAGCATGCAAGTTAACAATCAAAGATCTAGAAATTTTCTGTTCTTTCTTCCTTCAGTCCTTACTGTGAGTTTGCTGATTCAAAGCTTTTGGTATTTTTGTACATACCATAACTGTTTAATTAATTTAAATTACTTTTCCTAAGCAATTCTTTTGCTTTCTTCCCTGTCCTAATTAATCCTGTGTCCTCTGTTTTCTGTTTCCCTGTGTCTTCTCTCTCTCTCTTTTTTTTTAATGTTTTCTAGACCATAGAAGCACTGACAGATGACTTCTAGAGTAGATGTGTCAGTATTTGCAGTACCTTCCCTATCCTCATCTGCTTTTTCTATTTATAGAGTACAGGCTGGGAAACTAATAACTATTGTTACATAGGCAGATCATTGTTGAAAACTAATTAATTGTAACCCGTTGTTCCAACAGGCTGTTGAAAATCCCACATCTACAGAAATCCAAGATGTATGTGCAGCAGTTGGATTCAATGTGTTATTAGAGGTAATTTTAAAAAAAACCGCCCCCCTAAAAAAGCCACCAAAAACCCCTAAGACAAACAAACAAACTGGGGATATATCTCTGTTCTTTCATTATCTATTTCCTTATAGACAGGATAACTTGCAGTTGAGAAGTTTTGTTACTAGCTTTGCTTGCTTTGAATGATGATTGACCATAATCGTGGAGTAAATGTTGGAAAACTGATGCAAGTTAGAAATATCTCAGATTTCATAGATAATGTCACTTTTAAGCTTATGGAAAGATTAGTTCTGGTTTACTGTCTTTCTGAAAAGACTATACTGGGTGCTTGAAAGTGTGTCAGAATAAAAACTAGTTTTGTAAGCTGCAACTCTGCAAATTAAGCTTTTAAAAAGGCCTGCTTTTAATGAAAGTTGGTTACCTTTGCTATGGCTGTGTTGTACAGGAGTAGGATTCTGATGCTTGGAGTCTTCATAGCTCTTTGGAGTTACATTTTAGCCATATAATGTTAGTTTTTTATTACAATACATGACAATAATTGTTTTTTGTAGGGAATGAGTGTCAGGATTTCTAGAGAGGTAACTGCACGGGTTGTTTCCTGAAGTAATTACTCATTTAAAACAGTGTTGAATTTTCTGAGAAGAATTGAGCTCCTCATCTAAGAGTGTTACTGGTATCAAAAAATCAGTAGAAAACCACTTTGCTTTTCAGAAGCAGTTGAACAGGGCACTGTAAAACAACCAGTACCACTGAGAGACCTGCGATGTTTGATCAAGAACAAAGGCTATGACTGTCCAAAAGCAGTGACTGTGACCTGTGGCTTGCTATTTCTAGGTGTCCAAAGGGGTTTGTGGCTGTGGAGATGAAACAAAAACCTGTGTCCCTGTGGTCCAGACCTCTGGGGAAGTAGAGCAGTCCCTGTAGCAATTTATTCAGAATTGCTCAGCACCAGTGCCTGGTTGCAGCAGTGCCTCTGAAACAGTTCCATTTTCCACTGCTCATTACAATAAGTTTCTCCTTTTGCATGACAGAAAAATAAGATGTATCCTAGAGAGTGGAACAGAGATGTGCAGTACAGAGGTAGAGTACGAATCCAGCTCAAACAAGATGATGGCAACCCATGTTTACCTCAGTTTCCAACACGTGAGTAGAGTACCTGGGTTTAGGCACTTCTTCTGTTAATAAACCAGAAAGACTTTGTTTATTTTATGTTACCAGTTTGTTTAATTAGTTTTAACTTTTATACATTCTACAGTGCTACATTAAATCTCTTTGCCTGTGTAAGTCAACTAAATCAAGTGTACTGTGGGTATTGAGAGTTTGTAAAATTATTTTGCCCTTGGTCCTGCAGTTTCTGCAGCAGTGTCATAGCAGGGGACTGACTATGGGAAATGTTGTGTGATTGCTATGTAGAACAAAGCAATCTATTCAGTTTTGGCTTACTTGTTGTTAACATTTAAAACTGAGTATTTGGTGTTTAAATGGCTAAATTCCACCTTTTCTCTTAGGTTGCACATACCAGCTAGGCATCAGTGTGGATGCCAAATTGATAAAATACAGTACTGAGTTCAGTTGAGATTTCATAAATTAGTAATGAAGCAGCTGCCCATAACTAATTAAGAGAAATAGTTCATCTTGAATGACAAATAATGCAGTATTTTTCATTTTTCCTGAAATTGAATCCGTATGTGAAAGGGAAGCAGTATGTGTCTTAAGGAAAGAGCAAGACTACTACTGAATCTAGAGTAGCATAAGAGTGCTGATAGTCCAAAGGAGATGATTTAAACACCATATTCCTTCTGGAGGACAGCAGTGCCTTTCTAAAAATGCTTGTAGGTTTTGCCTGATCTTTCTGTCCCAAGTATTGTGGGCCAGTAAGAGGTGAAGCGAAAGAGTAGCAGGAAGGTTGTAGATACACTGAAGATTGTCAGGTTATGTGCCAGTTCCAGTCTGTGGGGTATTTCTCAGTTCTGCACTTTCTTCTCCCTCTCCAAGAATTTTTCACAAGCTGCTCGGTACCCAGGGGAAGGAAGCAGAACTCCTGGGCTTTATACCCAATTTAAGTGAAATCTGAAGTGGGGCTGAAGTTTCCAAGTTTGAAAATGCTGCTGTTCTTAACGTGTGAGGCATACATTGATCTCTCCCTGTAATTTTAGGTAAGTCGGTGATGCTGTATGCTGCAGAAACCATTCCCAAACTGAAAACAAGAACTCAGAAGATGGGAGGTAGTGATCAAAGCCTTCAGCAAGGAGAGGGAGGCAAGAAAGGGAAAGGGAAGAAGAAGAAGTGAGCTCACACCTGAAATCACTGTAAAATCGCATAGCTGCATCTAAAACAAATGCAGATGGACATGTTGCTGCAGCTTTGAAGTGAGAGATACAAGCAAGAAATAAAGAGGAGAAGTTGAATAGAACTGCCTGCTTTATCAGAACTGGAATGCATTTAGCTGCCTTGCATCTGTGTAACAATAAATCTGTTTTCACACACAACCTGCAAGTTCAGAGCTAAACACCCACTTTTAAAAGTGGAAGAACATAATCAGGTGGGGTGGGTAGGAGAATTAGTCCTTCCAGAAGAAAAATGCAGCTTTTGAAAAATAAATAAATATCCTTATGCAGACCAGATACCTGAAAACTGGTTGCTATAGTAAACCATTTATTTATGCTAGTGAAGCATTTGTCTTAATTCTGTACTATTCCATATTAGGGAGAAATTCTACACTTTGAATAGGGAGGCACAGGTTGCCCATACACCTTGTTGATGCCCCATCCCCCGAAGTGTTCAAGGCCAGGCTGGATGAGGTTTTACCAGGCAGCCCCTCCCTCCCTCACTCCCTCCCCTAGTGGGACGGAGACGAGGATAATCAGGAAAGAAAAAAATGTATGGGTGTAGGTAAGAACAGTTTAATAATTTAAACAAAGCAAAATATAATTATACTAATTATAATAATTAAAATAAAATACAATAATAAAAATTATTATTAATACAATTTTTTTAAGGGTGGGAAAAAACACAATACAATCACTCACCACCTGCTGACTGATCCCCAGCCCATCCCCCAGCAGTAATTAGTCCCTCCTGGCCAGTTTCCCCCTGTGGTATGGATGGTCGCTGACGAGCTTGGGTCACCTGTCCTGGCCTTTTGCCACAGTTTCTCACTGGCAGAGCATGAGGCACTGAAAAGTTGACTTAAGGGAAGCACTGCTCAGGAACAATCAGTGTGTGACAGCTGAAACAAGGACAGTAGGCACCCCTTATTCCATATAATTTATGTCATGCCAGGTCCCACACTTCCCAGTGCCCCATCACTTGCCTCCCTTTGGATTTATATACACCAACAGATAATATTCCCATAGTCTGTGGACCATCCCCATAAAAGTCCATTGATTTCATTTAGTATGCGATCTTGGGCTCCATTTGTCAGAACAGTGTTTCAGGCAGGAAAGGTGGTGTGTGGTGTTGGGACTCCGTCAAAGTCCATTCTCCATCAATGTGGTGATGGGAAGTGTTGATGACCAAAACATGAGTCAGGTCCAGATCCCCAAATTCAGCCTGTCACAGACGGGCACCGTGAGGTGCCCATTGTGGTGATGTGCATGTAGCCACCATAGAAGGTGTAATTCACAGTATTACACAGTAATTAACATCATACAGTTTAATTCATCAGCTTTGAGACACACACTGGACTTCTCCATCCTCCTGTACAACCCACCACGTGCACCCAAATTTAGGTTGGGCAGGGCAGGCCTGACTGGCAGATCCCTGAGTGTTGAATAACCAGGTGACCTTAGCTAAATGTGCATCCCAATGTGTGAAGGTCCCCCCATTCATTGCCCTCAGTGTGGTCTTTAACCATCCACTGCAACCTTCGACCTTTCCAGAGGCTGGTGCGTGAGAGGGAACATGATACCACTCACTGCCACGCTCTTTGGCCCAAGTGTCTGGAGTTGTTCTGGAAATGAGCCTCGTTGTCTGACTCGATTCTTTCTGGGGCGTTGTGTCTCCATAAGGCTTGTGTTCCAAGGCGCAGGATGGTGTCCTGGGCAGTGTACTGGAGCACAGAGCCAATTTCCAGCCACTGTTTCCAGTGGTTGCTCCCTCTGCTGTGAGTACGTGGCACTTGCCTTGGTGGATTTTGGGGAGTGTGATGGGATCACACTGCCCAGCCTCCCCATATTTACATTTCAGTCATCACCCACCATACCGGAGAGGCTTCAGCCACTTGGCTTAATCACACCCATGGACAACCTGTGCAATAGTGTCCAAGGTCAAGTTCACCCCTCCTCAGCCCACCCAAATGTTGCATTGATGTGAGAGTAGCATATGTTCCTTAGGGAATTAAAAACAAGCAGGTTAAGATAGGAAGTCAAGTTATTCTGCAGGTCTGCCCCCTTATTCAGCACCTTTCTCATCTCATTTTCACCCCTCAATTCCTGCCCTGGGAACAGGGCACATATTTCAGACCATTCTGGGACTGAAAGTGCAGAGAAGGCTTCTGTAAAAATGCAGAAATACTGCAACCTTTGCGCTCAATGTTATGAATTAAAAGGAAAAAAAATGTTTGGGGGAAAAACTGGTTGATAATGGACATCTTTTTATTTCACCTGCCTTGCTTTGACAGGTTTCTGTGAGGATTTCCTTGTGCTGCATCAGGCACTGTGGCCCGTGGTTTCCTGTAGGTGGCAATATTAACAAAGATATGCATAAGTGGGATTTACTCTCCATCAAGACAGGAGGAATATGGATTTTGAACTAGTATCCCTTCAGAAGATACTCGTCTAGTTATTTAAAAGTATACTCTTGTTATTTCCCCTTTACCTAGACAAAGATTAAACATTTGAAATGGACATGTGAGCTCAGAATCCTTATAAAAATCCTTATCACAATTTCTGTATCAACAGTGGATGGTAACCTTGGCACTGAACATTAGGGAGCTCGGAAGATACATGCAATTGATGAAGAAATGATTTAAAATGAGAATTCAGCACTGCTGGGAGGTAGATGGTTTATTCTTTCAGATGTATAGCATGTAACTGCTGAAGCAAAAGCACAACCATAATTATTCCATTCTTAATGGAAAGAGAGGAAGTTTTGAAAGGTTATTTTGAAATGTGTTTTAACTTGGTGACAGTGACGTGTGATCATGTGTCATTCTCAACCTTCAGCCATGATGTAAATGTCTCAGAAGACCAACTCTGCAGAGAACAGCTGTTCTTAAAAACTTGCCTGTGTGTACATCCAGTTCCCTGTGGGTGTTTTAACAGAGCCTTTTAGCCAGAACTCAATTTTGGGGCATCAAAATATCCCTTTTTTGGGGTATTTTTATGTGCTGTACTTGAGAGTAGGAGAGATGCTGTGGTTTGTTTCCTTCTCTGTAGCTGCAGATGTAGCTGTAGCAACAGATGTAGTGGAATGGAATAGAATACACTATTTCAGTTGGAAGGGACCTAAAATAATAATCCAGTTCAAGTGCCTGATCACTTCAGGACTGACTAAGAGTTAAAGCACCATATTCAGGGCATTGTCCAAATGCCTCTTACTACTGACAGGTTTGGGACACCAACCACCTCTCTAGGAAGCCTGTTCCAGGGTTCAACCACCCTCTTGGTATAGAAGTGCTTCCCAATGAAATGGGAGCAGGAGGTGACTAGAGGAATTAAGTCATAATAATTTTAGTTGATTCTCAGACTATTTGAAGACTTGATAAGACTAGAAAATTAGAAGAAGTTGTGGGGGTTTGACCTGACAAGTATTAGACCACTTACAAGAATTTCTATGCTTTGTTAACTATCCTGCTTTGGTTTGAAGAACTTTCATTTTATTATCACTGTTGGTGATGTTATCCTTGTGGGGGTCTTTTATGTTTTTCTGACCTTATTTTTCTTCTGCTGAGCTTGGAAAAGCAGAAGAAATGTCCTACTTACAGTGGTAACGGAAAGAACTCTAAGTGTAACAACACCACTGCCCACCACTATGAATAACTGTGCAGCATTGTTGGTTTAGGTCATTTATAGAACACTAGAAAACCAAGGGGTTAGGAGAAAATGTCAAAATCCAGGTATTTTACAATTTTTCCTCTCTACATTTCTTAAGAACACTAAACTCGGACGACTCCTCAGGTAAGCCAGGCTATGAAGCCTAGAAAGAGGCAGCTGCACAGACAGATGCTTGTGGTGCTCACTGTTGGGAAGAGATCTGCATTCCAAACTCTTTTGATAAGGCCTGATGTTCTCAAACTGCTGCCTAAGGTTGCCATGAAGCAGAATTACTTCCTTTGGGCTTTTAGAGAGGCTTCTACTAGTTCCAGAGTGATGAAGTTTGGGGAGGGGAAGTGAATCCCCTGTAAAGACCTTCTGCCTTCCTAAAGTAATCAGGTTTTCTCTGTTGTGGTCTAGAGGTTAAGGACGCGGCGCTGTCACCGCCGAGGCCCGGGTTCGATTCCCGGTCGGGGCCACTTCCCGAGCAGATGGAGCTCGTTAGCCCTGTAAGGCAATCCATCTACGTCCTGAGGACCTCGCTGCCACCGTCCAAGCTCACTTGGCCCCGGCAGATGAACCTCAGGATTAAAGGGTGGGCTCAGTTCCGCGCACACTGTGTCTCACCTAAAAAATCCAATGTGCAGGCTGGAAGGTGTAAAGACCTTCCCCGGTTCTTCGTTCGCGAAGACTGGCCATTACATTTATATTATATATAAGGCTCTTAAGAAATACTGAGGCATCATACCAGTCCCATAAGAATCTCTTTATTTGTGTCCATTTTTATTTAGCACATTACAACTTCAGCATAGACATGGGGTAGATCTGTGTACCAGCATTTGCACATAAATGTTGTGAAGACACAAAGAGAAGCACTGATCTGCGGGGCCAGCCCAGTGGATTGCAGGAGTTGCAGGAAAGGATAACTTGCTGCAGAAATTCAGTCATTTCTACTTGCATCAAGGCAAAAAAGCAAGATCAAGTTCTGTTAACAACAGATTGTGTTTCTAATTCAAGTAGAAATCTGACAAAAGAGCACTAAATATACATGCTGGTAATATCAAGTTGTAAAGACAAGAAGATGATTTAAAACCAGTTAAGTTCTGAGAGAGATGCAAGGGCCTGTTTTAGCAACTAAACTTATTGCTAACACTTATCTAGAATGTTTTATCCCCATTAATAACAGTGGAAGAACTGTTGAATAGTATAAGAAATGAAAAGTAAGTCCTGTCTCTACTATAGGCCATCAGGCTTGTAAAGTCTAAATATCATAGCTTTTAGATAACTAAGTTATGTAGTGCTTTGCACCAAAATCAAATAGAGTATTAAGTATCTTCATTTCTTTTTTTCTATTTACTTATTTCAAGAGGTGAAACTAAATTACAATGGCCACTTGACAGCTGATCATGTTTAAAACACAGGAATAGGATTTAGTAAGGCTTACAGAAAAGTTCAGTGGGTTTACAACAGAGGAAGATAAGACAAGAAATTAAACCAGTTAGATGGTGAGTTGC